GAGAGTGAGAGTGAGAGTGAGGGTGAGTGGGATCAGTGAAGTCAGGAGTTAGGAGTCGAAGTTCAGAAGGCTTTCCGAGGACGGACAATGAGTCACTGAGTCCATAAAGCAAGAATGTGTCAATGACATGACTTGATAAATTAGTCCAGTTTGCTGTAATCTGATTCACAGAATCATTGATAAATTCATGATTTTGCCTGATCTTCACAGCCTCCAAGGACTATCTAGCGGGTGGGGCGTCGGGGCGGGGCGTCGGGGCGGGGCTCGGGAGTGGAGGCCCGGCGTCGGGGCCGTCAGGGCCGTTGGGGCGTGGTGTCGGGGCAGTCGGTAGCCTGGCAGAGGGTCGAGGCCAGGCCGAAATTCAAAAATTATGGGCTTTTCTACCGTTTTGACTGGTTTGCTGGCGTTTTTGTTGGTTTCCTACTGGTTTGGTTGGATTTTCAGGGCCTGCGATGCCCAGAACTCTGGAGAATGCAAAAAACCAAGGGTTTTTGCATTTTTTGCATTGTTTTGCATTTTCTTTGCATTTTGTTTGCATTTTCTTTGCATTTTTTTTGCCGCTGTCTGAACTCTGCCCCGACCGCCGAGCTGCAGCTCTCCCCAACCAACCCACGCCCTGACCTTCGATTTTAGACTCTGCGTCTCAGACGGCCCAGACATGACTCACCGACCGACCGACAAATCGAGGTGCGGCAGGCAGCAAAGCACGATTCTGTTTCTACTTCGTGAAATTTGTTGCCCAGCGGCCCGCGGAGGGCCCCGACGGCCAAAAAGACCCTCTGGACAGGCAACAGGGCCGAAAGCCTCCGCAATTAAAAACTGCGTGCCGAAAACCGAATTTGGCCACGGTGCCCCAGAATACTGCACTTTGGCAACTCGTTTGAGACAAACTTATAACAATCTCTTGGGTTTGCCTCCAACATCTACTTTGTCCACACAAGAGCCTGATTTGTTCATCCGGCTGCTGTCCAGGGCCTGCCTCAGTTCACCTTCGTTCAAAGTGTCGTTCACTATTCACTATCGTTCACCTTCGTTCAAAGCATCGTTCACCGTCGTTCACCGTCGTTCAGACCGTCGTTCACCGTGGTTCACCGTCGTTCAAAGCATCGCTCACCGTCGTTCACCGTCGTTCAAAGCATCGTTCAGCGTCGTTCAAACCCCCGTTCAGCTTCGTTATAGGATTCGACTCGACAGAGATGCCCCAGGCCTATTATTGTGCCTCGCCTCGACAGCCTTGCCTCGACATGTCATAAGCCACGCTCTCGCGGTCTAATTTGGAACCCGTCTTCTGTTAGTTCGGTTTGCCATGCGCAGGCCATTTCTTCAAACTTTTGGGATGGGCGGAGTTCGTTCTGTTGTGCACTGTGAGGCTCACTCAGAGGCATGCATGCCGCTGGACACCATTCCAGAGCCCTCATGCTTTGGAAGTGCAAACCAACTTGGAAAGATAATCCATCCATTCGAGCTTGAACAAACCTTTCGGAAGGGAAATCCCGAAAGTCTTTTAGCAGTTATCGTGTCGTTTGCGTTGCAAATTCTCAAACTGTTTTTAGTGCTTTAGAAAGAATAATTCTACGGGTTGGGAGTTGCTCGACCAGGCATTGTCGTTGAGAGCATTGAACGGGCCCGGCGAAAACATGTTGTGGCCGAACTGCGAATATGCCTTGTTATTTTCTCTTGGCACGTTTCTCACTCTTATTGTCGATGCAGTGTGAATTCCTTCCAGCCTTGCTGACGCACACGGTTCAACACATGTCTCGAACATGGGTCTCATGTCCTGTTTTGGTTTGTTTTGTCAACAATGCAAGCCTTGAAATCACGTGGTTTCGCTTCTGTTGTCGCACAAAACTATTGTCGCGATGATGCCGAAAACCGTTACTGTTGTTTTCAGAGAGTCAGAAGCGCTCTTTGACCAAATACGATCTGGCATGTGTGAGATCCCCCTCTCATGTGACTTCGAAGTTCATGTTGTTGCCAAAAAGCGTTTTTCTGGACTCCGACCTTCTAGGCGGATCAGTTGACCTTCGTTTTTTAGTTCAGGCTACTCGGGGGACCCCTTGCCTGTCCATTGCGGGTTTTTGTACACAGGATGGGGCTGGCATTTACAGTTTCCCTGATTGGTCCGTGCCCCCAGCGAACGTCCCAGATATCTTTAAGCCCTTGCGAAAAACCCTTCATGATTTCTTCTTGCAGGTTCGGGCTTCAGCATGATTGCGCCAAGCCGTTCAACAGAAATGCAACGAGCCTTTGTTTGCCGCTGATGAGGTTGCCCACATGCGTGGCCTTTGGCAGGAGTGGGTGTCGATTGTTGACACCTCTGTAAAGTTTAACTGGGATACGGACCCAGGCCAGCCGTACGCTTTGGAATCGCTTTCTAAGGTGCTGGATGATCGTGACACGACTTTGTGGCAATCGCTTAAACGCGGCGTGCCCGCAGGAGTGAATCAGGACATACCACTTTCGAACTGCTTCATTCCGTATGCTCAGTCAGAGTCTTGGGAGCCAGACAGATATGGATTTCAAAATCTGCAGTGTTCATTGGCCGGGTGCAGTGGCCAATCCGGAACTCCTCGAGGAGTTACTTCAAGCAGAGTTGGAAGCTGGCTACGTTGTCGAGGTGCCCAGCCTCGTGCTTTGCAGGCGGTTCCTATGAACGCATTCCTTCTCTTGAGTTTTTGCCAGGTTTTCGGGTATCCGATTAGTTGGCGCAAAGTCCAGCTCGGGGCAGAGATTGAATACATTGGGTGGCGCATAAACTGTCGCGCCGGGGGTTTTTACTTGCCGCAGGCCAAAGTCTTGAAATTGCTCCAGGCAGTGCAGGACATTTTGCTTGGTGATACTTGCCAGGTCCGCGATTTGGAAAGGCTCATTGGCCTGCTGCATTGGGTCTTGCAAATGGCCCCCGAACTTCGGCCGTGGCTGTGTTCACTGTATCATGTCAAGGATCGCCCGCTTGCCACCAGCTCTAGCTTGAGTTTGCCAGTTTGGCAACAGCTGCGGTCTTATGTCGATACCGATCTCCGTTTCAAGGCCACACTGCCAGGCGCAAGCATCCGCCCAGGCAGCAAACTTTTGAGTGTTCGACATGTGGACTTGCGTAGTCTTGATGACCTAAACCGACATGTGGA